GAAAGATAGTAAGACAAGCTACCTTAAAAGTAACAACACAAGTGCTTCAAAATGGTTTTGGAAATATTTGAGGGAAGAAAAAAAGGGAGGATGTAGCTACGGTTGTATCAGCGCCTCGGACCTATGTCCAAGATAATCCCCTGCAACACTATTTTCCTTCCCAAACTCCACAATATCCCATCCCATACTCTCCATAGCCCATTTTCAACGCACAACCAATTGTCCCCCCTTTTTATCTGCAATGGCGTGCCCCAATTCCTCAAAATCATCCACCACCCCCACAAATTCAGCAAAATACTGTTAGACTTCTCGTCCTAGAAAAGAATACAAGAGGGGAAATGGAGCTAAGGATGAATTCACCCCTATTGGAGAATCATATGCTAGTTTGTTTCAAAAATTAAGGATGTTGAATGTTTTGAGTCCTATTGAAAGAAAGATGTCAAATCCTCCCCCAAGAAATCTAGATTATTCTCAACACTGCGCCTATTGTTCTGATGCCCTAGGGCACAACATAGAGAGGTGTTGGTACTTGAAAAAGGCAATTCAAGATTTGATCGATACTCATCGAATTATAGTGGAAAACCCAAAGGGACCAAACATCAATCAAAATCCATTGCCCAGGCATACTAAAACAAACATGTTAGAAATGATGAATGGTTCCAAAGAAGTTGCAGTCCCATACAAGCCAATCCTTAAGGGTGGAACTGGCATAGAAAATTCGGCGAATGTTGTTGACTTGACAAAAATGTTGTCTTCAGGGGCGGAAAGGTTGAACCCATCAAACATGCCCATCATAACTGTAAAAGGAGCGCTTGAAGATGTTTGGGCAAGTCAGAGAGAGGCAAGTTTGGTTATTCCAAGAGGGGAAAACAAGCCTATCTTGGTCGTGCAAGGAGCCCATACTCCACCTGTGATCATTAGGCCAATGTCCCAACTTCCAATGACTAATCCCAAGGATGTCCCTTGGAGTTATGAGCCAACCATCATGACATACAAAGGGAAAAAAGTCAATGAAGAATTAGATAAAGTTGGAGGAATTACCCGTTCGGGAAGATGCTATTCCCCGACTGAATTAAGGAAAACTAAAAATGACCAAATGCAAGTTAAGAGTCCAGTCACTGAAGGGGAGGC